AAAAAAAAAAAATAAATAAAAATAAATCTTTTTTATAATAAAATTTTTGATTTTTTTTACTGATATTATACTTTCTTCCATCTTCTTACGCTAGGTTGTTTTTGTGTTGATAAGATGATTTCTATAGCTACTTGACACAAGTTTGCTTCAGCGAGTTGTGTAATCGAATATGTATACAATCTTCTTGCTTCAACAAAGCAGATAGCTCAGTGCTTTGATGATAGTAGTTCATTTGTTCTGCAAAAAATATGCAATCTAGCTATCTTCTAATAATATAGTCTTTTTTAGTCAAGCAAAAAATTTCGTTTCTACTACTGAAGCGATAGAGCCTCTGACTATATTTTAGAGAAATACTATAGTGTAGGGACTCACATTAAATGGTTTAGAGTTCGCATATTCTCTCTTTTGAAAGTATATCATATATTTCATTTATTTTTTCTTTGCTTATAAAAACACTATTATAGAGGGTGTAATCGTCAGCTATTATTGTTTATGTAGTAAAAAGAGAAAGATTGAATGAGCTTCTCACGGTTTAGTCTACTGAACTACGAGATAAGAAATAGTTTAAATATATCCACCTCGAAATTTATATAAGTATATAACCTATTACAATCTAATCTAAAAATTCTTATAATATGCTAGATAAATCAGATAAATAATATATTTTTATTTTCTTGCACAAGATTATATTGCGTTGATAGATCAATCACCCAGGTTACTTGTTATAAGTATATATAGTTATGCAAAAAATTTTGCTTGAGTTTTTATCTCTTAACAATAGAGCCTCTAACTTTGTATGTTATGTATTCAAAAAGGCATAATCATTATTTTTGGTGGCTTAGTACTTTGGCTTAGATAGTTTGTTCAGTCCGCAAAAATTGTCAAAAAAGATTTTATTAGCCCAGTTCAGATTAAATATAATTCTAATCTTGATATATACTTATTTTTTCTCATACTCATAACTTATTCCACACTTCTAATCAACTATGACAACTAGCACGAGCGAAATCTTTTCAGATAAGAAGTCTATATATTACTGAGATTTTAAAAAATAATTATTATATTCTGATTTATTCATTCTTTTGTAGATATATATAATATTTTTAATATGGGTATAGGTAGTTATTTACTATTTTCCTAATGCTATTCTTGAGAGTGGCAAACACGTAAGTGCTATTGTTTTACAACAAGCCACGAGTCTCTGACTCATCACAATTAGGTAATGCATGAAGTAAAATAAAAATTTATGAAGTGCATACTAACTATAGACTTTTCATTTCTGCAAAGCAGAATACTTAGGGTAATAACAAATATTATGTAATATTTTTAAGAAAAGAGAGGTTGTTGAAATTTTATATTAAATATTAAATTTATAAGAGCTAATCAAATTTCTTTGATATAGGGAAGGAAGGGTAGGGATATAGTAAAAAAATATTACGTAATATTTGTCACAGCCTGTACATGACTGATTTTTTTAGCTTTTAAGAGGATTAGAATTCGTAGGCTCAGCAGATAATATATTTTTTATCTTGTGTTCTTGCTATAACTCTATCTCTTTTTGCAAATCTAGTGGAGTATCAAACCTTAGCCGAATTGCAAGTAGATCATCCTCTGCTTTATTAAGATCAAATACAATAAACTCATTCTTACGAAAGTAGTTATTAATAACCATCAATATATCTTTTACATTATCGGTATACTGTTCTACAATTTTGGCACAGTCTTGAGAAAAACTATCACTGTTAAACATTAATATATAAGAAAGATTCTTATGTATGATTATTATGATAAGATGGTATTTTTGTATGATAAATATAGATGAAATATTTCAATAATATTCATTTCTTTCAAGGGAGAAAGATTTTACACTAGGAATTTTTTTAGATGAGATATAACTAAACCTAATATTTTTATAATATAATACTCTTGGATTACTTGCAATTATTCTACATATATATCTAACGAAAGCCCATTTTGGTTTATTAGGATAGTAATCACAAACTATTAAATCGTCACACCTAATATATCTGGATCCTCCCTTTTGTCTTTTATATATGTGCTCATATTTATCTCTGAGAACAAGGTTCACAAGTAAATTAGTCTTACCTGTATCACTTCTTTCTGTGATCAGTATACTGAAAGCCAAAATAGTTTTAGATTATCCCAAATTTGCCTTATTTTCTGTACAATTTTGATGAGTCTAGACAACTATCAAAAAATAATCTATAGCTGTTTCAGGAGATAAATTTAATCAGATGCTAATCTAGCTTCCTGCGCAATTTTGACATTATATTTCTTTCATGTGTATAAATTTTACTAATATAACAGTGGCTTAGATGCTATACGAAATCTGATTAGCTAGATTATCTCTACTTATATTGCACCAAATTATAGTAACACCACAGTAATAATATATACTCTATATATTTTACTTATTTGTGCAGATAATACAAACCAAAAAGGAAATCTAATTTTGTAAATAAACTAAGTGTATGAGATAAAAATTTAGGGTTAGGGCCTTAATATCAGATGCTATAGAGTTAGAGTAATGCTTAATATAAATAAAATTTCATTCCCGTCATTTTAATTAGTGCACCAAGATCGATTTAAACATTAGTTTTTGCATATTTTTACTTTTTTCTTCTTTTATGTATGTTTGAATTCTTAAGTACTCTAGCTATTCAAAAAAAAAGAACTACCCCAAGAGCACCACCAAAAATTTTTCAGTAACAAAATTCTTAAAAGTTTGTTTATATTAGGGCTAGCGTTTGTATTTGAGTTTGATATTAACAAAATATATAGTAAAATTGCTCAAGAAAAATATTTTATTAGAGCATTAAAGATGGTTTTATATACAGATTTTTGAGTTATAGATGAGTTTTAACAAAAAAACATTTGTTTTTAATTTTTCTGATTGTGTAATATTAGTGTTATATTATACCTGATCCTCAACTGTAATTGGCTTTTGGTCATATTTTAAAAAGTGGCAGATATGTGATTTTTCAAAATCTGGCCAATTAGATAGAAAGATCAGATATAATATCAAAATCACACTTTTTTTATTTTTTTTAAAAAAAAATCATCAATAACTCGAAATTTTATTTATGAAACTATCTTCTGTATACTAACAAAAAAATTTCTCACTAAATTTTGGTATATATCATACTATATTCAAACCCAAATTCTAACCCTAACAATAAGGTTTATTACTTTGAATTATATCTATACTTATATGATTGTTTTGATTTTTGCTGATTGGCCGAAATTACATAATTGCTACTTTTTTTTCTGGATAGCTAGGATACTAGAATTCTTCATCAGGCTGATCTGGAATAGTCAAAATTTGTACTTTTCAATTGGCTATTTCCTCTTCAAGAGCTTGTATAAATAAGTAGATGCTTAAACTGTGACTTATCACTTCTTTGTTGAAGGGTTTTGCAAACACAATATCTACACAGTCAATATTATCAAAATTCACTCTTAAGGCTTTTTACGATGACATCGTGATAGAAAACTAGATGCATGCATGTATTATAGAATATTATTATTCAAAATCAGAACAAAAAGATAGAAAAAAGATTCTGAACTGTATAAAAAAAGATCTTGAAGAGGTGGAAGAATCTGATTCATTTGATATAAGGAAAAGAAGAAAAGCTCAAGAAATTCTCAACAACTAGAAAGTATGTCTATTAATGGGACTTAATCCAACAACATTAAACTGCTTATTTCGGTGATTGAATAAGTTAAGAACTTAGTTCAACAGTAATGAACTGCTCGTTTGACACTTGGCACAAGCTGAAACTGCTCGTTTCTAGTAATGAACTGCTCGTTTAATGCCTAGTGCAAGCTAGGACTGCTCATTTGAAGGATAGTTCCTAGTTTGATGCTATGTTGTTATTATTATTATTGTTGTTGTTGGAAATGCTTCTTATAAATATCAATGTATTAATTATGTACTTTATTTTTTCAAGAATTGAACTGATATACAAAAGAACATAAAGTATTCCAGTGACGTGAATATCAGATGTTTACAAGTGAGTATTTGGTATGAAAATTTTTACAAGACAAAAAAAGATTACAAATAATATTTTTTTCAGATTAAGAAGATGAAAAATTTTGTATCCAGAAGCTTGATCCAGGTTGTTAAAAAGTAGTAATATAACGTTTAGAAGATATCAAGAAACAACAAGTATCAAAAGGACTTCATCTCGGGAAGAAGAACCTTCTTCAACTGTGATGAAACTTAGGAAAAAAAAGAAAATCGATTATAGTGAAAGCCCAACAGAGAAGAAATCCTCTGGTTCAGAGTATCAAGAAAAACAAGAGAAACTTAAGAAGATAACTTATACCAGTATATTTTGGTTATTTTACAATTATTTTTGAAAGTTCTATGTCATAGATCACAAAATTATTTTTGGATTGTGAAGATCAAAATGAATAAAAAAATGAAAATAAGAAGTTCTAGCTTTCTAGCTAAAAGTTTCAGTAGTATCCAGTCAAGCATTTAATAAATACCAGATTTGATAACAGACAATAATGAAATTGAAAAAGTGCAGATGTCAGAAAAGGATTTTAATAAGTTCACAAAAGTATTCCAAAAACTCGAAGATAGCAAAAAATGGGTATTAAAGTCTGAAAAGATTGTTGAAGATAGTTATACAAGTTTGGAATGAGATGTAATTATGAATAGTAAGTACTAGCTGTTTTTAAAATCAGATTATTATAGATCCTAAGCCATTATCATTCTTTTATAATTGATCCAGATGACAGAAGTTTTGTTAAAGAAAATGTTTTTACCCTATCTAAACTCAAGGAAATCTGTACATATAGATCAAAACAACTTCTGAATATTCTCTAAGATTTGTTAGAATATCTTGGTAGCTACCAATTGGCACATACTTTTCATATAATTATGCTTCGGCCATTATTCACAAATGATGTTTTGACAGCCTTTTTATTTGAATAGTCCACAATTTCTGACTTCAAAACACAGATTTTTAGGCCAGAGCTATGGCAATCAGCTTATAATCGACAAAAAGATTTTGATTGAAACTGGATAAAGAATACTGTTAACAATCTGTAGACGCAAGATTTTCTTATTGACTCTTAAAGAACAATATTAAATATTAACTATACACTTTTTTCATATAGAATTTGCAAATATAAAGCAGGCAGTTAAAAAAGGAGTTCATTTAGAAGGATAGTTGCTATCACACATATGGTTGTTTATAGACAAGGTGTTTGAAAATATAGAGGGTGTTGAAGCAATAAGATAAGACAAATATAAATTATATTCCTTTATAGAATTTAATCATTTAACACCTGGTTCATTTTGTAAACAGAGGAGAATTTTGTAGCATTGTATCATTGTCTCAAAAAAATAGAGATCGAAATATTCTATCTGTGAGATCGATGTCAAGGAAGATTATAAGCAGACGAGGAGATTTAATAATTTGTTGCATATATAGAGAATATGGATACGGAAAAGCAGGCAACCTATACACAAGCTATAATAGTACAAAAATTCTATAAGAAAAAGTATTGAAAATGCCAAAGATGATAAAGGGTCAATTTAATGATTTATACATATACATAGAATCAAAAGAAAAAAAGTCAAAAAGCTTGAAACTATCAGATTCATTCATGTAGATATAATATATCATATTTTTTATTTGCCAGATTCTCAACTAATTTTTCAGAATTCTTTAGGACTTTCCATACTATTGCTCAGATTAGATTTTTTTGCAGGATGTGTTAGCAGAATCTCTCGTTCTAAAATGCTAACTATTCTATCAAATATTAGTGAGTTTGGCAAAGAAGTTCTTCTAGCTATTATACTTGCGTGGAAGTCAAAGGTTAGTATCTTATAGGAAATATAATTAATTGATTATTGGAATATGTTTATTTGTTTATTAATGTCTAAAAATTTCTTATGAACAGAAAATCATTAGCAATGTCATTGAAATGATAAATGAAAATAACAAGAAAGATCTACTCTAGGCCCTCCAACAATCATATGAGAGCATTTCACTTCTTTTTCCTCCATGGCATGTAATTTGTTGTACAACCAGTTTTGATACTCCAAGTAGTAAGGATAAAAAGGGTACTTCAAGCAATAAGAATACTCTAAATAGGGCAAAAAGAAGCTGAAATTTAGAATATTGTAAGATTATATAGTTTTTAGTTGAATGTATTAGTTTAGTATATAAAGTTTCTCTGTCAGTCTGTTATTTTTAACCTTGTGAATGAATTTATATTAGTATAGTATGGATAAATATATAATAAATTTTATTAAAACTTTTTCGCATCATCTATTTCTAAAATAATACTAAAATTTTGAAAGTTTTTAGTACAAAGTCTACTGTAGCAAATTTTCTTATTTTTACAGTTATCAATACCCTCAATCATAGACTTTTGGAAATAAAATTAACCAGATTTTCTTTATATATTTTTTATTTAATTAATTCTTACATTTATGCAAAAAGGTTGTTAATAAAGTTTTGCCCAATAGGGCTTTTTTTTAATTTGTATCTAGCGAATACTAGTGTATCATATTTAGTAGGGATTGTAATAAACATATTTTAGAATTATATGATCTATTCCTTCGATAGTAGTTTATTAAAACATTTTTCTGTATAGCTAGCTTCTAAAAGTTCTATAAAGCTCAGAATCAATAACTTATCTCTATTTTTTACTAAAAAATTCTAGTCAAATTTGTTCAGAATACAATCGAAGGAATATACACAAAAAAATAAATATAATTAAAATTTTGAGTTTACTCAATGAAACCTAATTCTTGAAAATGCTTAGGAATGATTACATGTGGGTCTTTATAATACCAAACATATCTTAATGCAATCCAATTCTCTTCATATAATTCTTTCTTGAGTTGATTCCATACTTGCTATTTGATAAAATTATTAGGATCGCTATTATGAAAGAATTTTATATATCTTTCATGCTGTTTTTAGACCTACTGAATAATTGATTATAGAGGCAATTAATTGTAATTATTTTGAACTCAATTAATTGATTGGTGGTATAGCCACAATTAATTAATTAATTGCAATTTTTACACTAATTGTAAAATATGCAATAATGAGATATTCGTCAAAAACACGGAATTTATGTGAAAATTATGCATACAGTATATATAAAATATTCAATTTACTGATGATTAAAAATTAAAAGTGCAATTTAATAATGTTTACTAAGCATTTTTATCTCATAAAAAAAAAATCTTGCAATTTTTTAAATACTACGCTCAACTAAACAAAAACTTGCAATTTTTTAAATACTGCTTTTAACTAAACAAAAACTTATCTGTTTCTAATTATTTATTGTTAAAATACTATGCTCAACTAAACAAAAACTTCCCTGTTTCTAATTATTTATTGTTAAAAAATACTTTTTAATAAAAATTTGTTAAATATTGCATTCAGCTAAACAAAAATTTATTTGTTTTAGATTTATTTATTGTTAAAAGACACTTCTTTTAATAAAAATTTGTAAGCATATCAAAGTAATTAATCTAAAAATAAATTATTCATATTTAACGATATTACCCTAATTGTAATTTTTAATTAAGTACTCGTTGTTTCTTTGAACTATTAAAAAACAGCAAAATTCTCTTTTTAATTTTGATTTATAGTATTTTAGCATATTATATAAATTAATATACTACTAGAATATCATAGTCTATTATACATTTTAAAATATTATGATACGAAACATTTAAAACAAGTACACATGATACTAATGTAATATAAGTGAAGCAAAATTATATGATTTAGTGTGATTTTGTTTAATTACACTAAATTTTTGTGTCTCTGATATTTGTTTAGTATAATAATAAAGTATTTGTTAGTGTAATAATAAGATATTTGCTTAGTATATTTGCTAATCTTGATGTCAAAAATTGTAGTTTAATAAAATAACTTGTATATAATTACATATAGAAATTAATCAAGTAATTTCTTGTTTTTAATTAATTGCAAACTACAATATTAATTTACATTCTCTTTTAAAAGTATATCAAAATATTCTTAAAGTTTTTATTTTTAAACTGGTTTCAATAAGTGCAACAGTTTCAAACAAATACTACATAGAGGCTTTTTTTAAACTCACAAATGACAGCAAGAATCAGTATAATTTATGTCATCCTGAATCTATAATTATGAATGAGTATATTGCAAAGAAGTGAACATTATTCCTCCAACCTCCAATGCTATAAAATGTCTATTTTCAGTGGTCAAATACTATTATATAGACTGGAGAAAGTCTCTTGATTCGCATACTTTAGAAAACTTGCTATTAAGAATGAATGACAAAATTTGGTCGATCCAAAATGTTAACCAAATTAAGAGTTAACGTTAAGGTCTCTATACCAAACCTAATATATCTATTATTGTAGTTCTGCATTTGAATACAATCATCTCTTTTATATTCATAAAATATAAAGAATATTTTTTTTTAGTATTAGTTACAATTATATTAAAATATATATGTATTAGAATATTTTAAATTCTAAATATTATAGCAATACGTAGCAAAATTTACAATAAAGCAAAAAATTGCAATTAATTGCAATTATTTGCAATTTAATTGATCACAATTATTTTTGTATAACAATGATGATTAACAATAATTGTAATAAAATTTAATTGCAATTAATTTTTCGATACCCTAGCTGTTCTTCTTGCATTTTGGTTGCAAATCTATATTGTGGATAATAAATATCAAGTTCTAATTCAGTTGGGTGATTTAAAGTTTTAAGAAAATCAGGTCAACATATCTTAAATAGCAGTCTAAGATATTTTGATATAATCTCTTGACACAATCTTTCACATTTATATTTAGAGCAATATAGACACTATGTATTATCATTTTTATATGAGAAAGGGTGGCATACTATTGATAGTTTTTATTGCATCTCCAAAGTAACTAACTCTTGCAATTGATATAAGAATCTGTCAAGCATTCCCAGCTTGACTATATACAATAGATTTGGCTATTGCAATATCCAATTTTGTACTAGTACAATGTGGATACTAATAGTTTTTGTTTTTAATACCACTAATAGAAGTGAGCTATTCATGTAATTTGAAATATCTCCAGTGTAAATGCATTGTATAATTAATATAAATATTGAATAAATACACTCTATTTCTGCTATATGCTAATTTTTTCGCATATTCAATATCAAGTTTCTTAGACTTATCTACACAATGTGAGTACCAAGTCCTTCTTTGGATACTATCAATTTGAACTAATCATGAATGTCTTTCAGAACATTTCCAAGAAAATAGAGTACATCTGTTATGATAAGAACTAAAAATACACATTCTGCCTCTTTTATTTGCGAAATTCTGAGTGAATTCAAGTCTAAGTTTTATGCACTTATGATATCAACTTCTTTTATTTTTAATATCTGAAAGAGATAAACGAAATTGATGATTATTTTTGCATTCCTATAAGAAAGATGAGCTATTATTAATATAATTCTCAGAAATACACTTTCTATTTTTAGTACATGCTAATTTTTTGGCTACTGAAATATCGAGTTTTCTATTTGTGCAATAAGAACACCATGAATAGCGATTTTTGACAAATCAAAATGAACAATTCCATTGATAGCTTTTATTGTACTCTCAAAGCATTAGAATTTTGCAGTTAATATATTCTTTGAAAAGGCATTTTTCTTTATGAGATTCTGCTATCATTATTGCAGCACTCAAAGAAAATTTATTTTTTGGCATTGCGATCAACAAAATATGTTTCTTAAATAATTATCCTACTTTTAAATACTATAGAATATTACAAACTATACAAATTAGATGAAACTATATCTTTGAAAAAACAGAATCTATTCGCTCCTAAACATCCATTTAGACTACTAGTTGCAGGCACTTCTGAATCTGAAAAGATGAGCATAGTAGTACATCTACTTCTAGGAAGCAAATATCCAAAAATATATTCATGGATATTTGGTGAAAAACATGGTCATAAAGTACCAAAGGCAGGAGCAAAAATTTTAGTGAAAGATATATTCTGTGTAATGATCTAATTGTTGTTATGCAATATCAAGATGAAGAGTTATTGGATAAGCAAGCTCCATAGTATGAAAATGTGAGATTCAAGCTAATTGTGTCTGAAGAACTACTTGATATTTCATCTTTCAAAAGAACTAGCTAATTTACTATTATAATCTTTGATAATCTTGCTGACAAACCTCTTGCAACTCATCTAAAAGTTGTTCCTTTCTTTAGATCAGGCAGACATGATAGAATTAGCTCAATTTATATTGCCTAAAATTTCTATAAAACTTATCCAAATATACATGAAAATCTTAAATATATTTTATTGCATCGTGGATATGGAACTTTAGATAGTATAAAGCAAATTTTTAAAGATACACATGATGATTATGAACCTCTAGCAAAAAAATTTATGAAGTAATAAAAAAGCACTTTATGGTTATTGATATCCAAAGACCATCTGATGACCTCTTATCAATTAGATTTAAATAAGACAAATCTTTAAAAAATTGGCAAAACAGTTGAACTTAAGATGATTCGTGCTTTGTAGCTTCATCATTATCTATAAAGTAAAGTTTCATTAAAGGTAATCTTGTCTTTGAGTTTTTCTGCATATTTATTTCTATATATATTTCTTAATAATTTGTAGTGAATATTTATCTAACCTCCATGTATGTCTTAATATTACAAACTATATAACCACAATAATTAACAAGATAAGAAAGATATATGCTAATAGTGGTGATATTAAAGTACTTACCACAATAGGAATTGCTTCTATCCCTTCTATCAAAAAAGACAAAACCTCAAAACTATATCTTATCTGAGAATTTGATTCAATCAAAGAGAGAGTATGATTTTCTAGCTGTATATAGTATAGAGTTGTCTTCGGTATTTTATCACTTATTTTAAAAATAATTTCAGTATCTACTCTTGGAGATGAGGCATAGTCTCGAATTACTAATTTCTTAGATATAGGGATATTCTTTTCATCAGAGTGATCCTGTATAATAGTATCAATTTTTTCAGTTTGATCTACACTTTTTCTATTGTGAAGCAATGGCTCTTCGAGCTTATATACAAAATATTGACTGAGATTTTTGTTAAATTTATTAATTGCAGATATGTTATCAGATTTGGTTATAGAACTTTGTTCTTCATTTTGTATATTTTTTTTACCATCTCCTTCAATTAAAGATTCTGATATATTCTCTGATTTCAGATGCTCTAATTTACTAATTTTCAGGACTAATTCAACTATCTTAGACTTGTAAAACTCAATTTCAGACCTTTTTTCAATGAATCTTTCTGGGATAATCTTAACTTACTTTTTAATAATTTTATCTCATTATGAAGTGATTTAATCTCTTTTAATTTTGTAGCATACTTAGTTTTGAATTCTGCAAGAGATATATCTTTGCGAGTAATTTGAGATGTTAGATTATCTAACTCTGAGCACAATCATTTAACCTTATCTATAAGCTAAAAAGCATATTTGGAGAGTTTCTTTTTATCTTTACTAGTTTAATTTATATTACATTGCAAATGCATCTTATCTTGTTTGATATTTTTAATATACTTTTTATACACCTTCTGATAGTTTTTAAAATCATCAATAAGTTCAGAATTGGATTTATAACTATTACGTAAAGCTTCTTCAAGTTTTACTTCTCTAATACTTCCAAAATGATATTCTTTTGAGTTAATATCTCGCAATGTATATATATTAATTGGTGATTCGCCACTCAACCAGAGAGAGCTCATAGTGTAATGTGATACAGTTTACATATAGAAATTAGATTTTTGGAATGTAAACTGCTTCTATCTAAAACTTTTTTTCATACTAAGTTAATCACCTTTGGGCCTCTAATTGAAGTTGTAGAGCTTATCGAGACGAATCTAATGGTAGTTGAATCGTCAAAATCAGCTTGGTGGATCACGAGATATCTTCGAAAAACGTTTTGTCAACTATGTAAAATTCTCTCTTTTGACAATAGTATCACCAAACCGTTTTTCGAAGTTATCTCGTGATTTACCAAGCCGATTTTGACGATTAAACCACAATTAGATTCGTCTCGACGAGCTCTACAACTTCAATTAGAGGCTCAAAAGTAATTAACTTAGTACAAAAAAAAGTTTTAGATAGAAGCAGCTCACATTCCAAAAACTCTAATTTCTATATATAAACCATGTCACATTATACTATGAGCTCTCTCTGGTTGAGTGGTGAATCACCAATTAACCATGTATTTTTTGGCTTAGCTATATTTAATAAAAATAACATATTACAGATATTATCAATAATAACATATTATAGATATTACGGATATTATTAATATTATCAATATTACTGGTAATATCAATAATAACATTATGGATATTATCAATATTACCAATATGATCAATAATATTAATATTATTATTATCAGTATTTTTTTATCAATATTACTGATACTATTAACAAGACCATGCGATCTGATATAGTCAAACTATCATCAGATGACTATAAATATATTATGCAATACAAAGATGCAAAATCTAAACTTTTAGAGATGCTTAGAGATAAATATTCTATGTCCAATACCTGTTTTTATCAGATATAAAAAGAAAAAGAGGTTTGCACAAATGTTTGGAATTCATATTTAGCTGATTCAGAAAGTGATATTTCTATACCTATAGTTGTAGAAGAGACAAAAAAGAGAAAATCCAAATTCAAGTCTGCACATATTTCTGATTAACACTCTGTTAGTAAAGATTTAACTAAAAAGGTAGACAAAATATCAGAAGCAAAAAAAAACTATACCACCTAAAGCCTCACAAAAAACTAAAGATCCTTTAGAATTCTATAGAAGAACACAAGAGGAGGCTAAAAAGACTAAAAAGATAAGAGCTGTTGTATATACTGATATTTTTAAACTATCTGCTTCTATTTTAAAAGTTTAGAATTAATATGACTAATTTTTGCTTTATATTGATCATGCAAATTATTATAATATCCAATTAATTCTAAATTAGTTTGGACACTAGTAAATAGTGCCTTTTCAAATTCCTTTATATGGATAGTTATGC